TCTTTGGCCCCTTGAGTGTGGCTCTTCCTAAGCCTTCCGGTAGTATCCTAATTAAGTTAATAACAATGTACCTACCTATATAGTTTAAGTTTAAAAAATTTGGCTCTCAAAAGAAATTTCAATCGTACTGTTGATATTTGGCTCTGTTGACTAATGAGTTTGCCGACCACTGCCTTAGACAAATGCCGTGAGTTTCTATGTACAAAGCACCTGAGACACTGTCCGATGCTCACTAAGCCTGGGCTATTCTTAACTCCCAGGCTTCCCACCCCAGCCTTTCCTCTAACACTCGGGGGCTTTGCCTACCTCCCAGTTTTCACACAGAATGTCACTTGTGCCTGGAATGTTTATCTTCTCCTGTTCTCCTGGCAAGCCCTTCTCACTCTGCTTTGCTGCTGCCTGCTTTGTGAAGCTTCCCCTAAGTCCCCACACGTGAGATTCTCTCCTCTGCCGCCAGCGAGGATTCATCTGCCTTTCCCTGGCTCCTGCTGCATCCTTTGATGAACATGATCACAGACATCATTCCACCCTGTACTTGATGCTCTAACACCCACTTTCCCTCCTGGATTTTACTAGTGGACAAAGATAACATACCTGCATCTCTCAAAGGGCAGGGCAAGAAGAGGCTTCAATGAGTCAGACAGAAAAACATTTATATACCAGGACCAGAGCCAGGCATCATGCTGAGGCCTCACAACCTCCTCATGAGTGAGGACTAGCATCAGACCCCTTTTAATCAATGAAAGAAACCAACTCATTGAAGTGCAGTCATTTGCCAAATGCCACATCTAGCAAATGGCTTTACTGGGATTCAAAAACAAGTTCTCCCTGATTCCAGTGCCCATGCAGTAGCTCCTACTGAATGTTCACTTGCTAGGGACTGAGTATATACATATCTCAGTGATTCCTCACAACCACAGGGGAAGAAAGTAAAAACGATCCCCATGTTACAGAGGAGAATGGCAGCTCCAAGGTCACACAATAAGTAACTACAGGGCCAGGACTTGAACCCAAGTCAGTCCAATGGCTATGATAATGCTGGTCAAGGGATTACTATGAGCAGGCACTGTGATCTGTCTTTGCAAGGTTTCAGTTAACGCTTACCAGAAGCCTTTAAGTACTGGTATTCTCCTACAGCTGCAGAATTCCCTGCTGGACTCAGTTTCCTCTCTCCACCATTAAAAGCCCATCTCCAGCGCTGACTCTCTGAATGGTGAAAATTATAACATTAATAATAATGGAAAAATGACCACTCCCCAAACTCAAGTAATTGCCATATACTAGATAACCTGTGCTAAGCCCTTACAAGGCGTGGATACAAATCTTAATTTACCACTTCCTAACCCTGACTCTGGGGCTTAAATTTTCTTTCTTTCTTTTTTTTAAATTGATTTCAGAAAGGAAGGGAAAGGGAGAGATATGATGAGCACAGCCGGCATCACTCAAGCGTCAACCTATGAACCAAGATTCCCGGTCAGAGTATATGCCCAGGTTGTTGCTATCTCTCTCTCCCTCTCTCTTCCCCTCTGAAATCAATCAATCAATCAATAAATAAACATATATATATATTTTTTTTAAAGAAACATCAATGATGAGAGAGAATCATTAATCAGCTGCCTCCCGCACGCCCCACACTGGGGATCAAGCCCACAACCCAGGCATATGCCCTGACCAGGAATTGAACTGTGACCCCCTGGTTCATGGGTTGACGCTCAACCACTGAGCCACACCGGTGCCGGAGCCACGCAGGCGGGGCAACCTTTCTGGATTTCACTTCCCTTGGTTATAAAATAAGAATGATAAGAGTATCTATTCTTAAGAGTAAATGAGTTCAGAGAGAAACCAAGATGGCAGCATAGGTAAACACCGGAAATTGCTGCCTCCCACAACAAATTCAAAAATACAACAAAAAGACAAAACAGACATCATCCAGAACTACAGGAGGGCTGGCTGAGTGGAAATTCTACAACTAGAAGGAAAGAGAAAAGCACACTGAGACTCAGAGGAGCTGCGGAAGTAAAGTGCAGAGATACGGAGGCTTGAGCGCGCACAGAAAGGGGCTGGTACCTGAGGATGCGGCTGTCTTTTTGAATTGGGAGGGAGTCACAAGCTCCCGACTGCTCTGAACTCCGGTTCCGGGAAGTCTCTGGGGACCCAGGACTCATACGGGGAGAAACTGGACTGTCTGGCAGCAGGCAGAACTCAGAACTTGAGGGCGGCTTTCCCTCAGAGGTGCTTGCAGCAATTACCGGGACACTGAGACGCGGGGCCCCTTAGGGCAGGGCTGAGGATCAGCCATAGCTGTTTGCTCCGCCCCACCCAGGCTGTGGCAGAGGCTTTTGCATATGAATGCCCTGGCCCTTTGCAATCTGAAAAATACCTAACAAATTGCAGCTGGGCCAGACAGACCCAGAACTTCCAAGGCCCCACAGCAGCTTGCATTGCTTCACAGCTGGGCCTCATCTGGGCACCTCCAAACCCCCAAAAAGGAAGGGGAATCTGCAGATCTCTTGGTAGCTCCTGCTGGGTAGCCTCAGGCAGAGGCTAAATTAGCACCTCCTTAGATCCAAGAGCCAGTATACCCAGTGGTCAGAGTGGGACCACCCAGATTACAACTCCTCAGATCCATAAGGGACACACTCAGGGGGCAGACTCAGTGAGCACCAAAGCCCCACTGAAGCAAGTCTTGCCCCAAAACGGTGTCTTCAGCACAGAAGTTCTCCCACTGCAGACACAGGTGATTCTCACAGCCAATTGGCCTGGAGGTCAATTCCTCCCAGTGATACCGACAACAATCAAGGCTTGACTACAACAAGACTACAACAAGACTGTGCATAAAGCCCACAAAGGGGTGCACCAAGAGTGTCCACCTCAGGTAATTGGGGAGGCTGAGCCACTGGGCCCTATAGGACACCTAGCACACAAAGCCACTCTATCAACACAGGGAAGCGTAAAAAATGCGGAGACAAAGAAACAGGTCACAAATGACAGAAATGGAGGAAAGCAAACTACTGGATATAGAGTTCAAAACCACGGTTATAAGGTTTTTCAAGAATTTTCTGGAAACTGCCGATAAATTTAGTGAGACCCTCGAGGATATGAAAAAAGACCAACTAGAAATTAAGCATACACTGACTGAAATAAAGAATAATATACAGAGATCCAACAGCAGACAAGAGGATCCCAAGAATCAAGTCAAAGACTTGAAATACAAAGAAACAAAAAATACCCAACCGGAAAAGCAAAAAGAAAAAAGAATCCAAAAATATGAAGATAGTGTAAGGAGCCTCTGGGACAGCTTCAAGCGTACCAACATCCGAATTATAGGGGTGCCAGAAGAAGAGAGAGAGCAATATATTGAAAACCTATTTGAAGAAATAATGACAGAAAACTTCCCCTACTTGGTGAAAGAAATAGACTTATAAGTCCAGGAAGCGCAAAGAACCCCAAACAAAAGGAATCCAAAGAGGACCACACCAAGACACATCATAATTAAAATGCCAAGAGCAAAAGACAAAGAGAGAATCTTAAAAGCAGCAAGAGAAAAAAAGTCAGTTACCTACAAGGGAGTACCCATATGACTGTCAGCTGATTTCTCAACAGAAACTATGCAGGCCAGAAGAGAGTGGCAAGAAATATTCAAAGTGATGAATAGCAAGAACCTACAACCAAGATTACTTTATCCAGCAAAGCTATCATTCAGAATTGAAGGTCAGATAAAGAGCTTCACAGATAAGGAAAAGCTAAAGGAGTTCATCACCACCAAACCAGCATTATATGAAATGCTGAAAGGTATTCTTTAAGAAGAGGAAAAAGAAAAAGGTAAAGATAAAAATTATGAACAGCAAATACATATCTATCAACAAGTGAATCTAAAAATCAAGTGAATAAAAAATCTGATGAAACAGAGTAAACGGGTGAATATAATAGAATCAGGGGCATAGAAAGGGAGTGGACTGACTATTCTTGGGGGAAAGGGGTGTGGGGGATGCAGGAAGAGACTGGACGAAAATCGTACACCTATGGATGAGGACAGTGGGAGGGGTAAGGGCAGAGGGTGGGGTGGGAACTGGGTGGAGGAGAGCTATGGGGGGGAGGGAGAGGAACAACTGTAATAATCTGAACAATAAAGATTTAATTTTAAATAAATCCTATTTTCTGGGCCCCATCCTCCAGAAATTCTGTTTCTTTGTTATGTGGTGGGGCCACAACATTAGTAACAAAGAAACAGAATTTCCGGAGGATGAGGCCCAGAAATCAGGATTTTAAAAAGATTCCCAGGTGATTCTAATGTGCAGCCAAGGTTGAGAACCACTGACTTAGAACAATGCTCGGCAGGAGATCTGTGTGCATTAAATAAAATAAATAAATCTTCAGTGAGCTAGGAAAAGGAAAGGACAGTCACTGACTTATACTAGTCCTATGCAAAGTGTGAGCTGGGAACCGAGTATTAGGTAACTTGATGAGTTCCATGTACCTGACAATATGGAATCACACTCAATTTAATGGACTGTTCTGTTTCCATTGTATTTCAAGTGAAGAGTTCCTTTCTCATGGCCAGCCAGGCCACTTTTCCTTCTCTCAAGTTAACTGACTGGAGGAAAATGCATCAGTAGTTTCAAAGAAAAAGAAAAATCGTGGGATTTGGAATATTTGTAAGTGGCAGGATGTCGATTTCCCTGACTCCAGATTCCAGGTTGTTCCTGTTGCTGTCTTTGAGCTTCCTCCCTCCTTTTACTGCCTTGGAAGTCCCAGCAACAACAATGACTCAAAATCATTATTATGAGTCTAGCGAGTTCTACTCAATACTGTCCCAGGCCCTGTGCTAGGAGCTTTACACGCACGTTTCGTCAGCATCCTCACAAGGACCCTATGATATTCGGACTGCTAGTCCTCACTGCAGAAATAAGGCGCAGAGAGGCGAAGGCACAGGCCCACTGCTAGGGGAGCTGAGACTTGAACTGAAATCTGTTGGCTTCCAAGTCCAACAATCTTCCACGTTCCCACATCCAGATCTTCCCCGCCAAGCACAAACATCATCATCACAACTAACAATAAGAGTATATTAACGAGTGAGCACAGTGCCAGGCGCAGAGCGAGGGGCTCCGCCAAGCGCGAGCTGACTTCTCATTCCAAACCAGAAGGAGGAAGCTATAGTCAGATACTGACCCCCAGTCTACAGAGGAGGAAACTGAGGTTCAAAGAAAAAAGTCGTTTATCCAGGACCGCAACGCAGCGCCAGTGAGCCTGGATGCCATCCATCCCCACCGTTTCCTGCCCAATCCCACCTCTCCCAGCCCACGCCTCACCTGGCCCTCCGGGCCCGCGCCCACTCGCGCCGCCCGCCCGCCCCTCCGGGCGGAACCAACTGTCAGACTCCCCCCTCCCCTGGCCCGGAGGTCCATCCCGAAAGCACCGCTCCCGCCGCCGGAAGCGAGATTGACCCGCCCGCGGCCGCTCTAGCCGCCAGGGCCGCCACCAACGAGAGTAAGGCGGCAGCCGTCACGTGATCACTCACAGTCTCCAAGGCACTTCCCCCCGCCCTGCAGTAGCGAGGAGCGCGGCCAATCAGAAACGCACAAGCGAGGCCCACGCTGACCCGCATTCCAGCCAGAGTGCGCCTGCGCACAGCGGGGGTGTAGGGCCCAGCTCCAATACCGAGGGTTCGTGCCCGGCTGGGTGCTGGAGTGGGAGCGGGCAGTGCAGGTACTGTGCGATCTGGGGGCGCGGCGCCTCCGCTGCCCTCCTTGTGTTGTCACCTCGTGTCGGTAATGCGTCTCTACCCTTATGTTGTTCTCGGTCCTTTTATATCGCCATTCCTCCCCTTATGTCGCATCCCGCTTAAATTGTCACCATTCCCCCTCTTTCACTATCACCTTCCTTCTGTCGCCATCAACCCCCTAACTCGCTGTCCCCTTTAAGCGCCCATTGCCATCATAGCTCACAGTTGCCCCTTGTAGTCGCCATCGGCTTCTTATGTCGCCAGCTAAACTGTCATCATACACCCGTGTCACCTTCGCACGTCTCCTGTCACCCTCACCTTAAATCGCGTTCATGTTCCCCTGTGTTATCCTCGCCCCTGTGTCACCATCTCTCCCATGTCACGTTTGCTCCTCTAGCTGTCACCGTCCATGCCTCATGCTTCTGGTTTTCCCCTTAAGGAGCCACGCTGCCTTACAGGGTTCTTCCCTCCACATCTCCAGCATTTGCCCGTGTCGCATACTCACCACCATGCGGGGTAGAGCCAGAATCCAGCTCCCCCACTAAACTTCTGGGTAACCTTGGCTACTAGTCACACCTTTGCAATCCAAGCTTCCTCCTCTATGAAATGCACACAGGACACCTATATCAGGGGTGATTGGGAGGATTCTGCCAGTTTATTCTTGTGTTATGTCCAGCTTGACATGGTGATTTGGGCTAATATTGTTAGTAACCATGTCACTCTCACCCTCGTCCAATCACCTTCATCACCTCCTCATTGTTGCTCTCTCCCTGCCCCCACCTCTTCATCATTGCGATGGTGTCAGTCACACACCGTATACCATGCAGATACCCTCCTGCCATGGCAGCCATCCCACATCACGATCTCCACATTGTCCTCACATCTGCCACAGCACCACACTTGAGGGGGTGGCCCATCAGCCATCACGAATCTTGCTCATGTAAATAGTTAATCCTTATCTCTTCACCTTGTTGGACTGAGTGATCTTTACCCAAAAAAATGAGAGCATTTAGCTGGTATAGTGGTGTGAGGGGAGGGCAGGGGGGAGACTAGAGGAAGCTTAGACCCAGACCTCCCTTGACTTCTAGAATTGAGGATACAGAGAGATGAGGCAG